CATGTTGTTTGAATTTTTACATAACTATAAGTGTTACACTGAATGACAAAAACGTATTTGAAACCTTAAATGTAGACACTTTACTTGCATTTAATGTGCTTTCGATGGACATAAAATCACTTTTGTAAATTTCTTTTGATGCGGACATCTTAACGTCTTTGACCCACATGCAACGTGTAACAAGGACACCTTAAAATAAAGTGTTACCAAACTTTCTTTGGTGCAACATTGTACTAACTTTATTTGCACCCAAAATGTAACGTTATTTGAACATTTATTTTTAGTATTCTAAGAATGGTAAAATGTCCAGTTTTCTTGTCATGATTAGAACGTTATTTAAAGGTTACAAAAATGTTTCTTAAACGTTCCACTAATTAATTTCATTTTCACCCAAAATATGACGTTACTTGAGCATTTATTTTTAATATTCTAATAACGTTAAAATTTCTAGGTTTCTTGTTGTGATTATAGCGTTATTTAAAGATTGCTAAAATGTTTCTTAAACGTTCTATTACTTTTATTTTAACCCAAAATGTAACATTTTTTGAATGTTTATTTTTAATATTCTATGAACATGACTAGAATGTTATTTAAAGGTTACAAAACTGTTGTTAGAACGTTCATCAAGTACAAACAACATCATAAGGACATTTTGAGAATGTTGTTGTAAAAACGTTTTCTGAGAACGTATATCAAATTTGAGTATGGTTATAAGAATGTTTTGTTAGCGCTGGTTCCCGTTAGCCGCTAGTCTTCTGCTGGTGTTTGTGTTGTGGAGACTCGCGTCATGTGATGAACTCATGCGGTGTTTGTAAATGAAGACATTCACATTCACGCAGCAGAACATTTGCTCACACAAACACGCAGATGGTGTGATGACCACGTCTTTGATTCGTTTAAGGATAGATCTGTTTATCTGTGTTTCATAATGTCTGTAAATGTAGAGTTGATGATGATCATGCTGGTGGTTTAATATGGAAATCTTCTGAACATTAACAAGCATCTCATATCGTTTCTCATGCCGCAGTCATGATGATGTGATTGGTAAAATCTCCCTGAGTAAAGACGTGATCGCTGCTCAACACAAAGGTAAGCGAGTGATTATTAAAGATGAAGATGAATGCAGAAATTCAAGTCTGAGCATCACTTTGGTTATTTCTGACCGCAGAGCTGACCTTTACGGTGCTATGAGACATAAATCTGTTTTGTGTTTATGTTTTCTTGCACGTTTTTTATTATTAATTTTCTACAAAGAATAACAAGTGTGCAGAAAACAGTCCCATTCGGCACAAATTAATATTGTGCAGGATCATTTCCCCAATTAACAAAACCCAAACTCATTAGGCTACATACAATAAAGCCTGGCAATGAAGAAAAATCAGAACAAAGTAATACTTAAACACAAATAGATAATTTTAAAAAGAATAATAATATAAATAATATAATATAAAATAATATTACATAATATAACATAACATATAGTATAGCATAATATAATAAAAAATATAACAATATTTTAAAAACATTTTATATATATATATATATATATATATATACATACAGTATATATAATTTTATTTTATTTCAGTTAATGTTTACTTCAAGTAACAATTTTTTTTGTTACAGTTTTAGTTAACTATAATAACCCTGGTCACCATGGCAACAGGAGCAGTCATCTCACTGTATGATTATAAGCCAAAAAACATGGAATATGTCGAGTTAAAACTACAGAAACTGAAATGACTTGGCACAATCTTTGTACTAAACCATAAAACAATTACTATGAAAGTGAGCACAGTGATTAAAATCAGCCGGGGAGACGAGCAACGAGTATTTTCATCCCAAGTAATCCCCTCAGCTGAAAGGCAGGAGTTATTAGTTATTACAGGCACACGCGTGATGTGTTAGCTACCACGCCACCCCGCAGTGGGTTTCATGTTCTCCCAGCATGCACTTGCCCTGCATGAATCACTGCAGCCTGTCAGGACTGACTCACCCCTCACCCACGGGATCATGGGAAGCGTTTGGCTCTGAGAAACTCTCCGATGAGAGATGATTTACTGTAACTGCACTGCGTCCTCCTGCTCTACCTGCTCTGCGTTAAAATCATGATGGCTGGCCGTGTTCAGATTACTCTGCATGATTATGAGAATTTTATGCATGCATGTTTGCAAACACCAAATACTCATTTTGGGCATAATATACAGCCAGAGCACAAGGATACTGTATGCATGAGATACTGTATCCCACAATGCATTATGCACGACTTGACCTTCCATTTTCAGTCTGACAAATGAACTGCAAGTCAAATCATTTACTTTACCTTTTTGACAAATTTTTTGACCGTGCTTCCAAAATCTCTGAAATGTGATACAATGCAAAACCTTTTTAGAGCCGCTGCATTTGGCATGCAATAAATCTCTTACTGTATTCTGAATAAACGTTTAAACAGTATTATGCTATATTAAACCTACAACATTGCATGTTTGATTCAGCATGTGGCATCCAGTTATCATCTCAGAAATAATGAATATTAAAATGAGATTAAATGTTTTGTATTTTTAATACAATAAAATAAATGAGTCAAGGAGATGTTAAAATTTACACCAGGATTATTATAGTTAACAAAAACTAAAACCATAAAAAAAAATCTTTACTTGAAATAAAATTAACTTTAACTGAAATAAAATATATGTCTAATTTTAATTTAGTTTGACTTGATGTGCTAAAATAAATAAAGCTGCAATAAAAATCACTAATAAAAAATATAAAAACTATATAAGCATTTTTTTTTTAATTAAAAAGAGACAACAAAATTACTAAAAGTTTAACTAAAATTAAAATAAAATCGTAAAATTCTAAAATAACCTACTTTTTTTTTTTTT